TTTTTTTGTCCAGATTTTGAGATGGAAGATGGAAACCCTAGTTTCACAGTGGATGAAGCTCTTGTGTCGATGGGATTTGGGAAGTTTCAATTGTACGTTCTTGCTTATGCTGGAATGGCTTGGATTGCAGAAGCCATGGAGATGATGCTCCTCTCTTTCGTGGGACCTGCTGTTCAGTCGCTATGGAATCTCTCTGCAAGAGAGGAAAGCTTAATAACCAGCGTTGTTTTTGCTGGTATGCTTATTGGAGCTTACTCTTGGGGCATTGTTGCAGACGAATATGGCCGGAGGTAACTTATACTGAAGCTTCTTGGGTTTGCTTTGATAGCTTCTGAATGTTTCTTCAAGGAGACAGGGCATTGATTTGTCTGGAGAAATGGTTAAAATTGTTCGGTTTGCTCATATGATTGATTCCTTGATAGCTCTTCTAAAGTTGTATATTCAGTCCATGACGCTTCTTTCAATTGATTCCTATGTATCTTGATAACTCTTCTAAAGTGGTATAGTCTTCTGTTTATGACGCATTGTGGCTTCATTTGATTTGATGTTGGTGCAGGAAAGGGTTTATCATAACTGCGGTAGTGACTTTCGTAGCTGGTTTCTTGAGCGCATTTGCACCAAACTACTCGTCGTTGATCATTCTCCGCTGTTTTGTTGGTCTTGGTTTGGGAGGAGGTCCTGTTCTTGCCTCCTGGTATCTTGAATTCATACCTGCGCCAAACCGTGGGACCTGGATGGTTGTTTTCTCAGCTTTCTGGACTGTTGGAACCATATTTGAGGCTTCCCTCGCTTGGGTACTACAATTCATGACTTTCTTTGCTCAATTTTCATCGTAATTTTGACGCTAGCTTTTCAAACCGTCATGATCATAATCTTTTGCAGTTGATCATGCCGAGTTTGGGTTGGAGGTGGTTACTTGCACTCTCTTCTGTACCTTCATCGTTGCTTCTTCTGTTCTATAGATGGACACCCGAGTCTCCTCGGTATTTAGTCCTACAAGGCCGGAAAGCTGAAGCTCTTTCCATATTGGAGAAGATTGCAAGAATGAACGGAACCCAACTACCTAAGGGTGTTCTCGGCTCAGAGATGGAAACTGAGCTCGAAGAGAATAAAGCCCTTCCAACAGAAAACACTCATCTTCTCAAGCCTGGAGAGATCGAAGAACCACCTGCTGTGTCCAAGATAGTACTAAAATCTGACAACAAAGGACCAGGTTTTCCCTTACTAGCTCTTCTATCTCCGCAGCTAATCAAGCGGACTTTGCTACTCTGGGTTGTCTTCTTTGGAAATGCGTTTGCTTACTACGGCGTTGTCCTTCTCACCACTGAGCTGAACAATTCCCAAAACAATTGCTATCCAACCAAACAAGGGTTAAGACATTCTTCAAACGATGTTAACTACAAAGATGTTTTCATCGCCAGTTTTGCAGGTACATCAATATATTTTTGCTATCACAAGAAATCCAAATCGGTTCTAACCATAAAAAAGATAGTCTAATCCTTGTGTTTCTTGATTTGTGGCTTGCTCAGAGTTTCCAGGGCTACTGATATCAGCAGCAATGGTGGATAGACTTGGACGAAAAGTGTCAATGTCATCAATGTTATTCATCTGTTGCATATTCCTTCTTCCATTGTTAACTCATCAATCTCCAACCTTAACTACCGTTCTTCTCTTCTGCTGCCGTATCTGCATCTCGGCGGCTTTCACGGTGGTCTACATTTATGCTCCGGAGATTTATCCTACAGCGATTAGAACGACCGGAGTAGGAGTGGGGAGCTCGGTTGGGAGAATCGGAGGAGTCTTGTGTCCACTCGTGGCCGTTGGATTAGTTCATGGATGCCATCAGACCGTCGCGGTTCTTCTCTTCGAGATTGTGATTCTTGCCTCAGGGATCTGTGTTTGTCTCTTCCCCTTTGAGACCAGTGGTCGCGACCTGACAGATAATATCTCATCGTCCAAACAACCACCTTCATCATCCGTATAGCAGATTCTTTGACCATTGTAGTTGTTTAGCCGTTATAGATAACATAAAGAAAACAGAGTGGCTGCAAAAGAAATGTATACATCACAGAGTAGTTAAAACATGTAAGACAGAATATGAAACTTGTATTTTTGTTAAACAAGGTCTCTGAATGAAATTTAATTTTACAAGTTCATACTTCATATTATTTGATTCGGTTACACTAAATTAAAAACAATACTACTAGAGATCTGTATAAAAAGTTGTTGGTGGGCATAAAAGTAAATTGAGGGTCTATAGATTTGATTAAATTATTCTTTGGTCACGAGATTGATTATAGTATTCAAGATCTCACAGTTTTGCTTTAAACAATTCAAAGAAATGCAGAAAATCCATAATTAATAATGCATATTTAAAAGAAAAATAAGATTATCGGAGTCTCCAAGGGAAACATCTC